CCGTGCACAGCCTCATTAAAGATCTAAGTGAGTCTTAAAAGTCAAGTTTAGAGGAAATTCTTTTAAAAAGAAAGAAACTACTCTCTTCTTTCTCGTACATAGGAAATTACCTTTTAAAAACACATAGCTAAGTACAAGAAGATTCACTATGTATTTGAGTAAACATTTCAAGTCCTTGGCTGGGATATGGGGCTAGGTCTTTAATTTTACATTCTGTTGTGAAAAGCCAAGGTTTTAAAATATTTGCTCCCATTTAGTTCTAGGTTACTTACAGCTAATTAATTTTGTGGCATTTCTATCATCTAATTTCCCCATATTTAGCCTCTTTCCCCAGCTTCCTTCTTAACATTTTTTCATTTAGTGAATCCCTTATTCACTGTGTGCTTGTTACATGATCCAGAAGAGCATCTCCTGTCTGCAGTGCCTTTTAGGACAGAATCCTTTGAGGCTATTACTACTTTGTATTTATTCAATGAATGAATAAATGTTTTGTTTTTAATAGTGCATGTCATCCCACAGGAGATAATAAAGTGAACTTACAAAAAAGGAGAAATAAATTACCTAAGTAAATCTAGAACCTAAAAATAATGCATATTCTAACCACAGATTGTAGCAGATGGCCTACCAACTCTATCTCTTCTCACCTTTTCATATAAGAAACAACTAATAAATATCATTTAAATTTGCTTCTCATCAATAAGAGAAAAATGCATCAAAGAAAGAGAGGTAATCAATGTTTTTTGTGGAAAGACAGACTTTATGAGTTTATATTGTGATGTGACAATAAAGGCAATTTTCATATGTCAGAGCTGGCTACTCAGAGGGCTGAGAAATGAAAGACCAGAAACTCAAGAAGAAAATGTTTAAATTCTAATTCACTAAGTTATTGGTAGTATGATAGTATATGTAAAATACCCAGATTTCAAATCATTGCAAATTTAAGGTATTTGTGACCAAGGTCTTACCATATATCCTCCTTTGCTGTAATACATGTTTGTATGCTTTCATCTGTTATTTCTTTGATAGATTGATGGATTGATTGATTGATTTTCAGCAGCTTAAAATAATGAACATTGATTATCTCACAGTTTCTATGGCTCAGGAATCTGGACACAGCTTATCTTGGTGCCTGTGGTTCCAGGTCTCTCATAAGGCTGTAATCAATGTCCACCAGAACTGCCCAAGCAAGAAATTAATTTTTAAAAAGAAAACAATGGCCAGGAGATTAAGTAGTACACTTTTAAGCACTGCAATATGGACAGAAAAAGTCAAAGCTATATCCAAATGAACCATATTATCTTATTTATAAAACTGAAAGGAGCACTAAGTATATTTTAAACAGATTCTCAATACACATTTAATTCTGAAAGAGTGATGCCCATGGGAAAAGTAGAGACATAGATTTTTTTAAATAATTGATATCCAAAATCATTTCAATTTGACTTTAGAATACAATGTGTCACATGACTTGAACTCTTCCTCTTCTCCAACCCACAACAGCCTCTCCCTATTAATAACCAGGAAGCCTCTGTCACTCATAGGTTAGACTAAATAATTAGCCTCTCACTGACCCTCCACTCCCAGATGCAGGGTGGCCATCCTGCCTCTTCAGTTTTACCACACTCCCTATTCCTCTTGTTCTAGTCCTAGGCCCCTCGGCCACCTACCTACCAAGCTCCTTCCCACTTCTAACTTTTTGCAAGTTGTCCCCTGTGTGGGGGCATTCTCCCAGACCTGCACGCTCTTTTTGGGTTTGGTGCTTAACAATTCTTGGATGTTATCTCCAATATCTCTTCCTGAGACACATACTCACACTGGATCAGGTTTCGCAAATCCCCTTATACACTTCACCTTCCTCCCTTAACATAACCGACAATTACATATTTGTATATATTATTTGATTTGTATCTGTTATTATTATTATCTCCTCAGGTAGTCCACACTTCCTAGGGGTAAGGACTGCATCTGTCTGAGCACTCATTACCCACTACCTCACCTTCATCCAGTGCAGCCTGGCACTGAATACCTAATTAGTGGACTCCACACTACCTATCAGTTACCTAGAACTGTACTAAGCTCTGATCAATTAGGAGAAAGCAAGTGTGGGTGCCCATGCAGAAGACTTTTAAAAATTAAATTGCCTAGGACAGTCTGAAAGCTCAAATAGTGATAACTTCTAATTCTCACTGCTTCAGCCTATCTGGTGGTGCCAATACAATCTCACTCACTGAAATTATCACTGTGTCATAGTTGGAATCTTTATGTTTCTTCCAAAATTCATGTTGCAATTTAATCTCCAAACAATAGCATTAAGAGGTGGAGCCTTTAGGAAGTTGTTAGGTAATCAGGGCTTCTCCCTTGTGAATGTGATTTAGGCCCTTATAAAGAAGGCTTCACACAGCATTCGCCCTTTTTGTCCTTCCATCTGTGGTAGAAGCACCATGTAAGGACACAGGCTTCAAGTTGCCATCTTAGAAGCAGAGACAAAGTCTTCACCAGAAATCAAACCTGATGGCACTCTGATCTTGGACTTCTCAGCCCCAGAACTATGAGAAATAAATTTATTTTATTTATAAATTACATGGTTTTAGGATTTTGTTGTAACGGCACAAAGAGACTAAGATGCATTCCTTCTGTCACTCATTTTTTCCTACACATAACCCTATTCATCCACCTTTGCTCCTTTTCTGCAGTCAGAACTGGTTTAAAAAAAAAGCAACCATTGGGGGTAACATTTCCCTGAAGCTCACCCATCAGGATCAGCCATTTACATCTAATTATTTAGTTCTTGTTCTAGTTTCTGGAATGATGGGAGGCTGGTTTTCCTTTTCATGAGAAAGTAAAACTCCTTCCATTTTGTATTATCTAATTATCTGAATTTTCCAGTCCTTATGCACATAACTGTGACCTGGTCACACATGGACTTTTCCTTTTAAGATTTTATGGAAATGGTCTATGAAAATCAACAATAGCTATCTGCATCCCACTAACATTGTGACCATGAGTGCTCTATGATTATTTTTTAATCTATTATTCTTCATTCATTCATTCATTTGCTCAGCAAATATTTATGGGTGACAATCTTTATAGCAGCAATTGTTCTAGGATCCAATGTACAAACAGTGAGTGTCTCCCTACAGTATAGAGAGTTCACAGTCCTGAACAGCAAAAGCATCTTGCTTTTACTCAAAAAAGGATAAAAGAAATGATGTTCTCATGTCAGAAAATAAAAATGATCTTCAAAACATTTTACCTGTTACAGGAATAGTAAAAATTATCAAAACAGACTTTAATGATATGGTACTATCAGTCTCAGGAGTAAGCAAAGGGGCACTGAGCTGAGCCTGTATTCCCAGAGGCACCCACTCTGGTGTCTATAAAGGTCTGCAAGATCTTCCCAGGAATCTTTCTAAGAAATGATAGGTGCTCTTCTGTCTGGAAAGTTTTACGTCTGGTTATAACTACAGTCTCATTGGAAGGCCAGCAAAACACTTACAGGATTTTCCTGTATTCTGCATCTCCAAACCAAATGACCACATAGGTACCTTCAGAGGGTCTCATTTGTTTTAAGGGTCTGTCTCCAAGACCACCCACATGTTCAATGGTTAACTAGAACCCTGATGCCAAACCTTTTAGAGACAAAGTGCCAAACTGCAACTCAAAACCCACTTATTTATCACAAAGTCCCAACACTGAAATTAAACCTGAATACTGAGGTTTTAGTTTAGAAAAATAATTCATAATTAACATCCTTTGTCTTAAATGAAAAACACAATAACACTCATGCCTTAGGTTTACCACCACTGAACTAGAATGATCCATGGGATTCAACATATACTGTATTTGTACTTAGAGCTAAGATATTACAATTAAAGTATACACAATTGGATTAGCAGGAAAAGAAGACACAGGTGAAATCTGGAGAAATCCATGTACAGGCTTCTGATATTCCCATGAGTGAACATGCCAAATGTGCTCCTTTCTCTACCACCAAAAAGCACACCAATGCCATGTGATCATGAAGGCAAGCAACTGATACTTTACCTTATACTCTATTGCTCAGCATTAACATTAAATAGGTTACAGGTATTAAATTCAAGATTTTTAACTTACAATATCTTCAATTTTCCATGTGTTTATTGGAAAATAACTCCATTGTAAGTCGAAGAGCATGATGCCATGTTTTTGCCCCAGAAATGCCCATTACAGACTCAATGATGAAGATACCTTATACCATGACTTGTGAAGTGGGGACTGGACACTCTTTGTCTAGAAATTCATAAAATTTCAGATTACCAGAATATAATAGGTTTTCACCATAATTATATTGTTTGTGTAGTCTAATCACAGTGAGTCATTCTCAACATTTTAGAGAATGTAATGAACAATTTCAAAAGCCAAATTCTCAGATACCAGTCAGGGGGTAAACTAATTAGGCAGACCCTTCTGAAGATAGCAACTTCAAGCTTGCTATATTAACTTTTCTGCATACCATTCTTTAAGTTTTCTCCCAGAATATGTGTTGTTGGAAATAGAAAGGTTATTGATTATCTCTCTTTTTTTTTTTTGGTACCGGGAATCAAACTCAGGTCCTTGCGCTTGTGAGGCAGGCAGTGGAACCACTGAGCTAAATTCCCGGCCCCATCTCTTTTTGTATATATACATGGATAAAGAAAATGTGATTAGAATCTACTTTTAGGTAGTTTTATCACTAGAGGTCTTACTAGCAACTATCATTTTAGATAGATATTACTAATAATACAATTTCTGTAAATTATAGCAATTTTTGTTAACTGTGACAATACTTTCTATGATTAATGTATTGTGTATTGTTTCTATACAATATTCATATTAATAACCCGTTCAAAAAAAAATAATCCATTCGATGATCTTTAACATTCTTTCACAGGTTTTAGTATGCCGAGTCGCAAAAGTTTAAGGAAATTCTATATTTGGTTCTTTATTTTATTTTTCATTTACTCTATTATCTTTCTTAACAGGGTGGACTTTCTACAGCTTGAAAGAGCATCATGAGCATGGATTTCAGGCGTGTGAAAGAATATTTCTCTTGGCTCTACTATCAATACCAAATCATTACATGTTGTGCTGTCATGGAGCCCTGGGAGCAATCTATGTTCAATACTGTTGTGCTAACCATTTTTGCCATGGTGGTGTACACTGCCTACATCTTCATCCCAATCCACATTCGCCTGGCTTGGGAATTTTTCTCAAAAATATGTGGATATCACAGTACAATTTCCAACTGATCTCATTTGCACTCGGTGAAATGGCATTGCACATTTATGTTGCTTACAACTTACTGATTTAGGTGACTACTATGCCATCTTTCACTCTCTGGCCAAAAAAGGACTCTTCTCTATGCACTCTTACATACTGCCTGGAGTTTCAGTTAGATGTCTAGTTTCTTTTGTACATGCTGCATTGTGCTTCAGACTATAGAACATACAATGCCTTTACCTCACGTACCATATTCACTCAATGCAAATCTATCACTTTATTTTTTTAATTAAGATGACTTCAGACAAATTTTTTCTGGAAAATAAATTCATAAAAGACCCTAGTAGAATTATATTAAAATGCTCCTTTGACATCTATTCAATACTGAAGAATATACTACCAAAAAAACTCTTCATAGGCTACTATCAAAAGTATCCTATCCTTGTTTACAATGTATAAAAAGATGTGAATAAATTATCTGACCCATTAAAGTCTTATTTTCTAGTAAACTGCTAACACCTAAACATATTTTATTTCTTTTTTTTCCTTTTAATTAAATTTATTTGAAATTATTTTACCTTAATGCAAAAAGCAGGCTGGGGGAAATTATTTCTTTCAGACACGGTTCATAAGTTGTTTCAAATATTTAAAATCAACAATGTTAATTTTAGATATACAAGTAAGTATTATAATACATAATAAGAAACAAAATATAATCAAAGTAAATTCAGATATTGTGACTTTTGATTTTGCTTTGCCTTTGCATGATGCTTGGGGGAAAAGAGAAAAAAATTGTTTCTTTGCTATCCTTTCACTCAGGGGAGGAAAAAAAACATGTATTGAGTACAGGAAGAAAAGCTAATAAATAGGCTAGAAGTAATATTCTACCAGCAGGAACTTAACAGCTCCAGTTAAAATGCTTTGATACTGTGGCTCCTTTGCAGAACAGAAACAAAATTTATTAAATTTTCCTCAAAATGTTTATCCTAAAAGCAAATATAAGTTTTTAATTATACTGCTGAATCAAATGTGAATGCCAAAGACCAAGCCTTACAGCTTTTCTTTCTCCTTAATAAATATTGTTAGTAATTCTGGATGGTAGTAATACAAATAAGTTTTGGACAATATTTGTACCTTTGTTTTTTTTAGGGGAAAAAAATTCAAGGAGAGCTAGAAAGAAAGATGTTGGGCATGCCAAATTAATTTGCATGTTTGTTAAAAAGCAAACAAACTCATGTTTTGAAGAGAAACCAAGTCTGAATATGTTTTTGTTGACTTTTGCAAAATAAAATTGAGTTTAATTTTGTAAGTAAAATATTCTCTTCAGATTTGCTTTTTCCTCATTTTGCACTATTTATCTGGGTGGTACATCATATCTCAATTTTTTTTTTTTTTTTTGTATCAGGGACTGAACTCAGGACCTCGCACTTGCCAGGCAGGTGCTGTGCCACTAAGCGACATCCCTGGCTCCTCAATTTAATTCTGACTAATCTAATGTGGTACTGATCTTAAAATGGTAGAATAAAGCCAACATTTACCAAGGAACTTCTCCATGAAGACATGTTGCACATGTTGAAGTAGGTATTAAGGTCTCCCTTACGAGTAACAACCCTGGAGCTTAGAAAAAGTTACATTTCTTCTTCAGACAGGCAAATATTTTCCACATGAAAGCCCATGAGAAGATAACATGAAAGGGAACAGGATGGAGGTCATCAACATGTTAGAAAACAGAATTCCATCAAATAAGAAGGGTGGAGCATGAGGAGACGGCTGAGGTTGGAAGAACAATAAGCCCAGCTCCCATTTGCCATCTTTGCTGCTATACCTACGGTGCTGTTGAACCATTTCTATGCCTCTTTAACTCGCATACCTACTTTGAAAGATTGCTGCCACTTTTAAGTATTTAACCAAAGACTCTCAGTGAAGCATGAATTTGAACGCATTCCCAGTTCACAATGGTCCAATACCCTTATACACTTGAACCCCTTCAAAGTACTCTTGGAGTACAATTACTTAGATACTACTTGACCTTTTCACAATCCTCCTACTAAAAATAAACATAGACACAGTAAAGCTTAATAGAGAATTATTGAAAAGCACTGTTTCAGGATGTTAAAGATAACCACTGAACAAACAAAAATAATACAGAGTACAAAAATTAATCAAACATAGTTTGAAAAACACTTATCAATGTGCACCAGGAAAGAAAAGAAAACTATTTGGCCTGCCTGTTCTGTTGATTTTCTAAAGTTAGCAGAGATGCTCTTTGCCTCAAACACAGTTCTCCTAGATCAGAAACACTATTTTAGTGCTTTTCCTTTGCTTCTCTTAGTTGGATATTTCAATGGTGTGTATGCAACCTTAAAAACAAAAAAAGCCAAAAGTTCCATGGTTCTAGTGAGCTTACAGTCACCAAACTGAGAATCATAAAATGTTTTTCCCCTGGTATTGGCCAAGACAACAATTGCTTTTGTATACTTGTACAACAAAAACAAAACAAAAATTCCAAGAAATCAGGCAGGTTTAATATAATTATGTTATTGATACATCTTTATTACTTGTGGAAAAAAAAATCACTAGTCTAAATTTTCTAATTTTTCCATCACTAATATATTTGGGTCCAGTCACTAGAGTGCTCCTAGAAGGCAGGGATTTGTCCTTACTTCTGAAACCCCAGTATCTAGACCAGTGGTTGGTACAGGTCTTAGCAGAAATACATCGCAGGAACTAGTACACAACTCCTCACACCCTGGTCCCGCACAAAATAAGGAAGCTCAGTATATGTGTTGGATCAACCTAAGAATGACAGCTTCTGGCTGCCACAACCATTCATTCATTAAACAAATTTACTAAAAGTCAACCACACAGCCTCTGCCTGGAACAAGCTTACTCACACATGAGACAGGTATGTCTCCTGTTTGGCACAGCCCCGCCATCTAGAAACGCAGCATTGGAGGTCTCCTGTCGCTGAGGTCAGACACATCCTTGCTTGGTCTGTCTAAAGACCCAGAGCGAGGGCTGGGGTGGTGGGGTGGGGAAAGGAAGAGAAAGGAAGGAAGAAAAAGAATGAGGTGAAAAGGGAAGAAATGTTTTCTTTTTGTTTGCTAAACTTAAACTGGGATGGTCTCATAAGTGTAAAAAGACAAAATTACAACAAATTTTAAAATCTAATTGGCTTTTATTAGTGACTCTAGAATTAAGCAATATCTTATTCTATAAAATAGAATAGCTGTTCCAATAAGCTGAGTGGAGAGAGTGGGAACTATACACAGAAAAGGGCTGAAGAAAGCAGAAATAAGAACAAAAGCAGGTTGAGTGTTTCAGAGTTACTTTTCTTATGAGGTCAAAACAGAAGGAATTTCCTTATTGCACCAACTAGGAAAATGAGGCCCATTCTGACTGGTTGCTGTAATTCTTCTGGTTTTGATTTTGTTTTGTTTTTTAACTGGCCATTTCTAAGTACAAGGTGATTGCACCTAGCATGAGTGACTCCATTCTGTACTGGTTTGGTCTGCTGGGGCCTAAAGCAGGAGCTCAGTGTAAAACAATAGCCTCCCATGAACTTTATTTAACACAAATGAATTGCAATTTTTCTCTGACCTCATTCATCAAATTTCCTTCACCTCATAACCTATATCTAAATGTTTTGCATCTTTGTCCTTATTCATACTTCAGATTCTTTTATTTAAAATAATTCACTTTTTCTCCAAAGTTAAATCTTCTGAACAAGGAGACTAATCTCTCCATTCTCCAAGGAGCCCGTGCCTTTCCCTCCTCTAACATTCCCTCTGCCCCACCCCACCCTGGCCACTTTGTCAGTATTTCTACAGATTCAACAACCAGGGGTGGAGTAAGTTGCTCCACAGTTCCTTCCAATTTAAAACAAAATCTGTATTCTATGAAATTCTATAAATTAATTCAGCTTTCTGTAGATTTTTCTGGCTATTGATAGGAAGCTGACTTCTTGGTAACCCCAGTACCATCATTGCTGTGGGTAAAACAGTCATAAATAATAACAAATACTAAGTACACAAAACCTCAAATTATAATCAATCAGTTCTTAATGTGAGATTCAGGTGAGAAATTCAAAAGGCATGGTTTTTATGGGAAGGGTTCCAGGAGGGATTCAGTCTGCATTTCAGTAACCCCCATCCTCACCTCCTTCCTCTCATTTCACTACCTCAGTTCCTTTAACTCTTTCATGGCCCTCACCCTGTCTGCCCTTATATGCAGCCCCAGGAAGGGTTACTGCCTCTCTACAGCCTCAGTGTTTACGACTGGATGGAAAGGGGCATGAAAAAGTCAAGATGGCTCTTAGTAGAGGGGGAAGCACTTCACGTCCTAGCGTAGTCAATAGGTAAAGTATCTCAGCTGTCAAAATGAAATCTAATATCTATCCCTCCCACCTTACTGCACAAAGGCAATACCCAGTCCTGAGTTACATTTACCTTAGCTAGAGAAAGCACCCTGCTGCAAAGAAGGAGAGGAAAAAGAGAATCCATGGCCCATGGGTGCACATTCTGTGCCTCTTGTTTCAGCTGCCACAGCGGCTCAGGTGTTAGGAGAGTATAGGCCATGTTTTGTTTTGTTTTGTTTTGTTTTGTTTTTGCATTAGGTATTCTTGGTAAAGCTAATTAAGTGGATGAAACGATGAATTAATGAAGTGCTTGTATGCTTCCAGGTTAGAGGCACTGAATCATATTCCAGACATAATTTGTCACTAGAATTTGTATTGAGCTATTAATTTACAAGGTGAAAATTTTTTTTTTTGTACTGGGGATTGAACTTGGGACCTTGCACTTGCAAGACAGGCAGCAGCACCACTGAGCTAAAACCCCAGCATACAAGGTGAATTTTTAAGCATCTGAACTAGTAGGTGAAGGTTTTGAGAGATTACCATTCCTTCTTTGTAGTATCTCATCAAAGTACTTCTCTCCTGCTTCTACATTTACTCTCACATCAAATTTCTTAACATTTTTAAACTAAAGGAAAGGAATTTCTAAAAATCTGATGCATTCGTAAAGATCTGTGACTGTGTTACTCCCCAAATACTGAACTGTTGGTTTTCAAGTCTGACTGTACATTAGAATTATCTGGAAGCTTTAAAAACTGTAAATGCCTGGCCCCATCCAGAAAAATTCAACTGAAATCTTTGGGAAAGGACTCCCAGCATGAAAAGCTCCACAGGTGATTCTAGTATTTGGCCAAGATAGAGAACTACTTCCCCAGGCTTCTGGTTAATGTTAAGTAACTGAGATCCAGCATGGAACTGGATCCTCTACTTCTCTCTCCAACTTGCTGGCTTCTCTAACCATGTGTATCTAAGATAAGGTCAAAGCCCCACTGTTTCTCTAGGTATAGTCTTAATCATAACAAATACCACTTCCCTACTGTTGTCAGTAAAAGTACTTAACATTCCCCTAAGAGCTTGAAGTGCCAAATAGTTAACATCACACTCGCTGCTGAATTTTGTTCCACATAATGATGTCTTCAATCATTTTATCATGCATCATTTAAGTGCAGTAAAATATCACAATTTATGATCACAGGCATGAAGTGATAAAGTACACTCAGTCTGCTGCTGATGAGCTTGGTAGAGGTTTTTTATTTGCAACTTGAGTACAACAAGATCATGTTACAATAATTAGATTAAGCCAGATGGATTGCACCATCAGTACTACTGCAGACCATGTAAAGCTGTATGTATTTCACAATGATGTCCTGGGCACCTCATTGATGAATGATTGTACCTTTCTCCCTTTTGTTTTTAATCTCACAGCTGCATGTCTTTAATGCACCATATGTTTGTATGTATACATACATAAAAACATATATAACATGATATGTACATACATGTACAAAAATTTTAACCATCTAAGACTGTAACAATATAATTTTTGGCAGAAAACATCCTAATTAGAAACCAAGATAATCATGTGATATGTCTGATTAGCAAGATAATCACAAATTGGAGAATGCAGTGGCACAGCCTCTACTTCTTGCTCTGGCTGGCTATATGGAGCTCTGGACAAGTCACTATACTTCTCTGGCTTTTATCTTCTGTACTGTGAAATAAAAAATAACTTGGGGATGGAATATGTGATTTTTTTCCTCATTGATTTTTCAATCATTTAAGGGTCATGTTAAGATTTCTGAAGCTACATCTGCTCACCAGAGAGATTACCAGCATCAACATATCAATGCCTATCATAAAGTCAGGAGAAGGGAAGTGGAATTTAAGTTCCACTGGACCAAAAGCCACAGAATTAATTTTCATCCTCATTGCAGTGGCTGGAAATCAATAAAAACAAAATGAAAATATCTACTTAAAACACCTTAACTAATTTTCACAGCTATATAAAAATGTGTGAAGACATATTGTCAGCTAACTTCTATCTACCCAATTACACTTATCCTTCAACTCCATTTCAAATTCTACCTCTTCTACGAGGCTAACCACATACCATAACAATAAATGGCTAATATTTTATGGCATGTACTATACATCAGATACTGTTTGGAACACTTTGCTTATATAACATATTTAATCCCCATAATATTCCTGACAGGTAGATACTATTATTATCCCTTTCCTATCCCCTTTCTACAGTGGGTAAAGCTAAGGCACAGAGCATTTACATGACTTATTGAAGGCCATACAGCAGTGAGAGACCTGGGATTTGAACTGAAGCCATCTGTTCCAGAGGCAATGTTTGGCCATTGAAGGAAACATCCATATCACCCATCCCATACTCCACACCCTGTTTTCTCTTGGATTCTATCATTCACTTAGTCTGTGTGTTTACAGGAGATCAATTAACACTTTGAGATACAGACAAAATACTAGATAGGGTGACCACCCATCCTAGTTTATACACTAGTGCCTTTAAGAAGGAGTGAGGGTGGGAAAATTCAGAGAAGACTTCCTACAGGAAGTGATGCCTGATCTACATTTTAAAGGATAAAGCAATTACTCACCTTTAAATCAGCAATTAAAATCATTTTGCTTTCTAATATAAATATCCCCCCCCTTACCAATTGATTATATTACTTGGACCACAAAAGACATACTTTTGTAAATGAAGTTGACCATTCCTCCCCCAAAATGAAAGAAAACTTTAAATTACTAGCAAAAATAAAGTTCAATCCTACTGTAATTGGAGTAAGTTGCTAGTATACCCAAGTCTTAAATTGTCGCTTCCAGGTGATGTTCTTGGTCTGTTAGAAAATGATGGAAAGATTTCATGAAAATAATTGTGTGTGTGTGTGTGTGTGTGTGTGTGTGTGTGTGTGTGCGCTGAGGATTGAATCCAGGGCCTTACAAATAAGATTAAGCACATATCCTGAGCCACACCTCCAGCCCAGAAATACTTGATTAGGTAAGAAGGAACTATTTCAAAACAAAAGAAAGTGAGAGAAATATTCCTTCTCACAGTGTTGAGCTTCAGACTCTCCAACATATCAAAGGTAATGAACCAATAACTCCTTCAGGATGTGAGGGGAAAGATGCTACATCTTGGTGAGTTCAGACTAATAGAAACTCATTCCACTTATATACACTGAGGCCTAGTTCTGGGATGGTTCAGCCAACAGGAAAGCACTGAGAGTGAATTTAAAAAGACTATTGAGATGTTATTTTCTTTTTGTTTTGGTGATTTTACTTTTTAGTTAATAGTTACATTTTTCAAACTTATAATGGGTAACTTTTTTAACCTGACCATGAAGACAACCTTATTTTATAGATATGCAAAGACACCAGTCTTGTAAGACATAATTACTAGAGGCTCAAAAACACTGGGAACCACAAAGAAGAAATGTTAGGGAAGACATGATGCTTCTTATTTCCTCAAAGCTATTCCAGATGACTCTAAATTAATTGCCACTTTGACAGAGGTACCTTTGAGAGTCAAAGACTCAGGGGAGCAGCAGAACAAGTTTCTATTTGACATCTTCTACAATCAGTGCCCATAGCAGAGAGGCCCTACAAGCTATAGCAAATCCTCTGCACATGCCCATGTGCACTCTCCACAAATGGGAATATCTTCCATAAAGATGTCATGACCTTTCCTCTATTAACATTTTTGACAAATCCTTTTTTCTCAGGACAAAGGTGACTTGAATAGTAGCCTATTTGAGTGATCACAAATCCCATAATAGAACACTTCTTGCCCTTTTTCATATGTGACATGATTTGTTCAGTGTCAATTCTTCCTTTAGACAATAAGCAACAAGAGGGCAGGGATTTTTGTGCATTACTATATCCTCATCACTATCTGGAATCAAGAAGGCCCCCAAGAAATCTTTGCCAAAGAGATCATACCCACTTAGAAAGTTGTGAGCAATGAGAAAACACATGCCAAGTACCATCACCATGCCAGCAACTCAATCAGTATTTGTTGAACTGAGTGGACGAGTTGAGAAGTTTCTCGTTCACTCACTCTTGATGCCCTCTCCAACTGCTTTTTGGCTTCCCCTCCTTTTATACCTTTCAAATTGTTCCTCAATGCTTTAGTTACTGGATTGTAGTTGTTCTCCAACTCCTGCCCTTTCCACTCTATTGCACCATTTTTCTAGAAACTCTCATAATGAAAACTGCTAGACACAGTGCCTGTGACTTCATCACTGCAGATTCTCCTGCAACTTCCCTGAACTTTCTTCATTTGGTCACTGACTCTTGATTTTCTTCTGTTCTCTCCATGTGAATCTCAGCAGGAGACTCACCTTGACCATCTGCCTTTTTTCTTTCATTAAGGTTGGATTTATCAAAGCCATCCCAGGCTATATAGGGAGTCCAAGGCCAGCCTGACTAAAAAGTAAGACCTTGTCTCAAAAAACAAAACAAAAAAGTGATTGGACTAGGCTTCCATTACCACATCTTGCTAATAACTCCTAAATTTTCAGATCTTCTGTATTTGCTTGATCTGTAGTACCCTAGTCCTAACACCCTGGAAATATTTTTCCTCTTTTGTTTTCACAATGCATTACTTCTCCCCTCAACCACAGTCTATAGGCAATCCTCCAAATATGATTTGCCTGCTACAGACTCCCTTAGGATAAGATCCAGCTAGCACAAGTCCTAGCACAAAGCAGGCAATAAATGTTTGCTGAATGAATGAATGAGTTTGTGAAACTTTTACTAACCATTTTCATTTGAATCACTGCACCATTTCAAATTTTACATTAAAATGATGTCTGTTTTCCTCCAAATTCATCTGTGTCCTGAATTTCCTGCTGTTGATATCAGCATCTACCCACTTGAGCTTAAAACCTTCAAGTTTTCTTTGACTTCTCTCCATTTCCCTCATATTTAACAAATATTAAACATTTCCTATCACATCCCACATCACATCTCTCCATCCTTACTGTCAGCACACAAACCCAGGAAAGCTTCAGGTCCCATCAGGATATTCACAAATCTTTCCTTTCTCAAGCATGCAAAGACTCACTCTTACCTGCTGCAGACTAGTAGTCTAATATCATCAAACCATTTTTCAGAAATCTCTATAATCCAGTCTCCCGTCCTCCCTAACTATGGATTCAACCTCAAGTCCACACCCACTACCCACTCTACACAGGCTGATCCTGTCAGAGACCACTCAAGTTCTGGCTTGTTCGTTCCCTACATGGAATATTTTCTTCTTCACCGTGTATGAAATTCTGCTATAATTCAGGACTGAGATCAAGTAATTTCTCAAATTTATTGTGATCAGACATGTTCTCTATCTCTCTTTCCTCCATGACACTTAAATTCTACACCATGACCTCACTGAAAGCTTGATGTAGGATTTTGCCATGATTTTTCTATGTTCATTTGTTTCTACTAAGAGATTTCAGGCTTAGGGAGGACAAGACCATGACCTGAACTCTCAGCAAGTAGTTAAGTAGACAGAGATTGGTTATTTTTATCAATTTTGATATAACTGCCACTCATTAAAAATAATGAGATGCATTCCCTAGAAACAGAATACACAGAAAACTGTTGTAAATTAGGACTAATTTTATTTCCTTGAAAAGTTGGAAATAAATTTCCAAAAGAAAAAATTGTGTGCTCAGAATTTTCTAACAGTGTCATTTAAAACACAATTTTGAAATTTACTTGCCAAGGAAAAGCAAAATATTTTAGTGGAGAATGAAAAGGAAGGCCAAAATAAAATTATAATTTCTCATGCAAAATCCAATATACATACACATAATCTCAAAAAATTTTATCTTGTCAATCTCGCTCATACTTTAAAGATAGTCCTAAAGATTTCACATTTTTCACCCTTCTTAAGAGAAAATTCTGTCCTAAGTATGTCTCTTAGTGGGTATTTTAATTTTGAATAATTTTAGGCTTACCAAACAGTAGCAAACATAGCAGAGTATTCATCTGCCTTTCACCTATATTCCAATGTCAACATACTGCATAGTCATAGGTCAATTACCACAATCAGAAAACTAACTTTGTTACACTACTGACTGGACTATACATCTTACTTGTATTTCCCTTAATGTCTTATATCTGTTCCAGGAGAAATTTAGGATACAACATTGCAATGGATTGTCTCCTCGATTTTCTCCAATCTGTGATAGTTTTCAGTCTTTTCTTGTCTTCTGTGATCTTGACATTTAATGAGGGCCAGTCAGCTATTTTGTAGAATGGCCCTCAATTTCGGTTTATCTGATGCTTTCTCATGATTAGATAGAGCCTGTGTGCCCTTTTGTCAAAACTACTGCAAAAGTGACCTTCTATCCTACTCAGTGCATCCTGTCCTCCTGTTAATTTGTCTCAATACCAGTGACATTAACTTTGGTACGGTGGTATCAGGTTTCAAATTCATTATTCCTCCCTTTTTCATTGTTAAATACCCTGGAAGATACCTGCCTAGTTACAGCTCTACCCCTAGTGGATCTTCATTAACCCACAAATATATCTGTATCATACTTCCAAGACAAATAGGATACTTGGCAGAAGAAAAAAAAGGAGAGATAAGGAAATGAAAAGAAATGTAGAAAAAAGAATGGGAAAATGAAGAAAAATTAATCTTTTTGTATTTTTCTTAACTATAGATTACTTCAAAAACAGTACTTTAGAGAGAAGCTGAGCCATTCCCAGCACCCAGAAGGAAGCTTCCCTGCCATCATTCCATGTTCCTAGGGCAGAGAAAGTGAGCCTCGATGGCGCCAGAAGCACCCACCACCCCATGGAAATGAGAAGACACATAAACAAGCCTCAAAAACAGACTTCCAGATCACCTACAGCAACCCCAAAGGGAAACAAGATGGAAC